AGGCCGGCTGCCAGGTGAGAGCAGGGAGGGTGAGTGGAAGGGGCACCTGTTCGGCTGACGTTCCCAAAGCGGAGAACGCCCTCCCCTGCCGGCTTAGTGCTCATGTAGCACTCCAGGCTAAGGACAACGGAGCCGGACAGGCCTGGAGCGACTGTTACTCTTGTGCAGTGGGGAGAACAGTCTGAAGGACACTGTGGGCTGGGTGAGGCCCCGGGGGGTTCCCAGCCTGGGGCTCACCCCTCTCCCTCGCCGGCTCCACCCGGAGCCCGTACCTGAAGCAGACGATAGCAATCACCACCACGGCGATAACGAAGACCAGGCCGGCGGTGGCCGACCCCACAATGAGGGGCAGCTCCTGGAAGCTCTTCCCGCTGGAACCTGCAGGAGAGGCGGGAAGCCGATCAGAACAAGAGGGCGAGCCAGGGGGGTGGGGCAGGGAAAGGAGCCCCAGTCCCAGGGCATACCGTCCTCCGCAGGGGTCTGGAACTCCACGGGGAGGCTGTACCGGCCATAGCCGGCCACGGTGCGGGCCCGAACCTGCACCACGTACAGGGAGCTGGTCTTCAGCCCGTCCAGACGCACCGTGTTCTTCTGGCTGGTGACGGTGTTCGCGATGCCGTCGCTCTGGCCCTGCTGGGGGGCAGGGAGAGCGGGGTCACATACGGGCAGTTATAATCCCCGCAGGGAGCAGGCTGGCTCCTGGGGTACCTCTAACACCGCTACTGGCCCCGGCTCTGCGTTACCTTCTCGAAGTACTTGATTTCGTAGTCCAGGATGATCCCGTTGGGTCTCTCTGGCGGGGTCCACGACAGCATCATGCTGCTCCCGGTGCTGCCGTGCAGGTGAATCCTGGGAACGGCCGAGGGGGCTGCACACAAAGGAAGGGCAGGGGCCGGTGAGGCTGAAGCATTTGCCGCCCGGGTCCTTTGTTCATCTACCGGTACCTCCGCGTCCCCCGACTGCATCTGTCTGCTACTCTGCAGCCTCGGCCCAGCCACAGGGCAGCACCTCCGGCTCTCAGTTAGGAGCACCCACGGCCTGGCCGGGCGGAGCCCTCCCCACCCTCAGCCACAGCCGGGGGCTGGAAAGATGCCTGGGGAGCCCCGAGAAAGCACTCTGCCAGGGGGCAATGTCGCCTCCTTCCTAGTCATAACCAAAGGGGCAAAGATCCACCACCAGCTGAGGAAAGCAAGATTCCCCTCCTCCCACCACTCCCCGCCCTGCTCTCCAGGTTACCCTCCTCCGCTGGGAGGATGGCCACGAATGGCGCTCCACGAGTGGCGGCAGGTTTCCAGCACGCTGGAGTGGAGCCCGATGCGGGGGAAGGGGGCGATGGAAAGCAGAGAGCGCGCAGCATGCTCCAAGGGCCTGAAAGGGTCCTGACCTTGGCCAGGCTCGCCAGGAGAAAGCCCATCTCCCCCTGCGAGCCGGGGGTCTCTGGAGCCAGGATTAGAGCCCCGGGACCCTGAGGATCCTGGTCCCCTCTCCTCTTTGTTCGCAGGTGTTCCGATCTCCTCCCCTCCAGGGACAGGAATTTAAAAACCGAGGGAAAAATTCACCCAGGGGATTAGAGGCGGGAGCTCAGAGCCAGCGAGGCTGCACAAAGGGAGCGAACAAAGGACAACGGCTTCCGGGAGCGTGGGGTGGGGCTGGGCAGAGATGCCCCCTCTCCCGGCTGCACTGACCTGCCTGGTTGGTGGTGATGTTGACGGAGGCGAAGTGGGGGGAGGAGGGGCTCTTGCTGGACACGCCGTTCACCGCCTGGATCTCGAAGGTGTACTGGGTGTGTGCCAGGAGGTTGCTGATGTAAATGCGCCGCTCCGTCAGGCCGAGCTGGCGGGGCACGAACTCCACGTTGTCGTCGCAGCGCGTGCACACCCGGCGCTCCACGCTGCACTTCTTGCAGATGACGTTGTACAGCAGGTCGTCCCGGCCCCCCGCGTCCCGGGGATCGCTCCACTCCAGCACCAGCGAGGTCTCGTTCACGTTGGAGATGACGTTGAGCGGAGAGGACGGCACGGCTGCAGATGAGACACTCGCGTCAGGGGGGCGGTAAAGCCCCTCCAAGCCCAGCCCACCCCTGGGTCTGTGGGGAGGTAGCCCCATGGATCTGCAGCCCTCGGGTCTGGATTCACAAGTCTCGCCTTCCGGCTGTTCTGCCTTTACAACGAGATGCTTAGCCAGGGCACCCCGCTCCCTCCCAAGAGAGGGAAACTCAAACCAGCGGCATGCACTGCCGCCGCCTGGGGACCCCGATCATGTCCCCCACGCTAGACAAGGACGCACTTACTGGTGCAAGCGCTGTCTGCGGAGTCCGCGTCTGCCCGGAAGTAGCCGTTCCGACAGGTGCAGAGCGTGGCTGCCCCCGGGCTTGTCCGGCTGTTGGGGGGGCAGGGCGAGCAGAGACCTTCCCCTTGCTTCGACTTGAAATACCCTGGACCACAGGCTGCAAGGAGGGGAGAGAAGGGAAAAATTAACGTTGTTGCCAACCCTCCCGGACTGACTCCCTGGGGCATTAGCCCTGCATGGGCAGCGTGGGAAGAGCTGCGAACGCCCAGGGCGCTCCTGCCCTGAGAGGCCAATACAGAGACGTCCCCTCGGAGCAGCAGTGGGATCCGTGGTCAGTCTTTCCCAGGGACGCTCTCCAGAGCCCGAAGGCCGAATGCTGGGGCCTGCCTCAGCAGATGCTGGGGAGAGTGAGTCACCTCAGACTCCATCTGAATAGAGCGCTCACCCCCGGGGCTGGACCCACGGCTGGGAAGGAGCCCAGAACTTTCCGCAGCAGCCCTCTCATCCCAACACCCGCAGCACTGACGGGCGGATGCCAATCCCAGCCCTAATACCGCACGGGATGGGAGTAACGAACAGACCCCTCCCCAGCACTGCTCGCTTGGTGACCCCAGCCCAACTCAGGGCGCTCCCCCCGCGGCTGTGCTCTGGGCCTGAGGAGCCAAAGCAAGGTCTCCTACACCAGTGTGAAGCATGGCCAGCTCCCCAGGGACTGGTCTGCAGTGGAAACAGGCCGGCCGCCTCTGAGCTGGAGCAGCTCACAAGGGGCTTGCTGGACGGGGCAGGGGAGAGCTTGTCAGTCGCCCAGTTCAAATGAAGGCTGCTGGGCACAGAACAGCCCCTTGCAAACATTTCCACCCTTCAACTGCGCTCGCGTACCGCGGGTGTGGGGGATGCGCCAACTGAACGGGAGCAGCAAGCGGACTGGCTGCAGAGGGAGCGCGCGGCTCTCACAGTCAACGTGGTGTGCAATCGGCACGCAGCTCCCTTCCCGTGGCCCTTGCTTTTCCTACGTGTCACTTGAGTAATAGCACTAGGAAAAAAAACCCGAGGCGGACAGAAACCAGGGGAATCTGGCCACCTTGTGCACGAGCAACAGGTAAGCAAAATATCTGGTGGGCCAGACATAGAACCCTAACCCTTCCCGCACCTTGCTCGGGTCTGCCGCCTGCTCCCAAATCCCCGCCCGGCCCCACGAACCCGCTTCTAGGCGCAGTCCTATTGGGGCTGGTAGAGGGGACCCCGCCTCCCTGGCGCTGCGTTCCGAGGCCGCAGCATACGCGGCCCTAACGACAGGCCCCTTTCTCGCGGCGGCTCCCCTCTCAGCCTTCGCGGCTTTCCAAATGCCTCCTTCCCCGTCTCAAATGATTACACCCCCTTCGTGCCAGCTGTTCCGATTGCCCAGCACGGCCCTCCGTCTGGTTCCCCCCAGGGCGGTCCCAAGCCCTTCAGTGGCCATGTAATTAATTCTCTGTTCTGGCTGGTTTTCATCACCCCGGCTCGGCACGTCTGACATGCTGCTCATCCCTCTGAGAGGCACTGACTGACTCCAGCAGCCCGACCCCTTTTGTTTATGGTCCTTTGGCCGGTTTTCAGCTCCTGCCACAGTATCGTTGAAGTAGTTTGTCAAGTAAGGTTCAGCAATTCTTTATTAGAAACTTTGCTAAACAGCCGCCTCTACCGAGCTGCCCACGTCTGAAAACTCTCCCAGCACAACCCCTCACGAAGCGGGAGGGAAAAGCCTGGAACCCAGGCCTGGTGTGAACAATGGACCCTTTAGTCCTACCACGGGCTCTGTGAAAAGACTAACAGCACTTGAACCTGAAGGAGCCCGGGGCGGCGAAGTGCCATGAAACTAACCCAGATCTGGGGCTGGTAACGCTGAGCCTGTCCCTCCAGGACCGGTCCTGAGCTCCTAAGTATCAAAGGCACAAACAAACGAGGCTAGAAAATAAGTTAGACCTTGGCCTGCTGAAAATTCAGAGTTACAGCTGGAAATGGTCTGCAGACGGCCCCCTGCTGTGCGCTGGCATCGCAGCTCCTGGACCCCGGCCAGTTCCTCAGCGCCACTGGCTTCCCAGGAACTCAGACCCTTTACCTATCCGCTCTGGCCCCCTCCAACCAGACAGCCCTTCCCCCTCTCCTAAAGGCACCTCATGGGCCTCCCACTCGCCCAGGGGGGTCACGCTGCCTTCAGGTATCACCATCTCCAGCAGCCCCATCTCAGCGGAGGAGCCCCCGGCCTAGGCCTGCTAGGCTCATCATCCACAGAGTGAGAAGACCAAGCCGCTCCGTCCCTGCTTCCGAGGCATTTCCTACCACCCACGGCGAGGAGGTTTCCAGCTGGGAACGGCAGCCTCGCAGACAGGCTGGGTGGGGCATTTCGTAACCACACCAGGGCTCGTGTTCACAGGCCCTTCCAATCCTCCCCATTTCCTAGAGACGCTCTATTCCGTTCGGTGCCTGTCCGCACAAAGCGGACGCCTGGGAACGAATGCCAACGCCTTGCCTCGTTTCATGCCGTACTGCGCCTCCCGCCGAAGACAGGTGGGCCCGCACGACCCCTGGCCCTCGAGGCTGTGGCAGGGCCTCATGAGAGCAGACTTTCAGATCCAGAGCCACCGTCTCCCCGTATTGTTCCTTCACCATCACCCCACTTTGTGCCTCAGAACTGCTGCCTAGTCTTGTAGACCTACAGGTCCAACAATCACAGGCCGACCTCCTTCTGCTAAGGCGAGTTTTCCAGCGAGAGCACCCAACACGCCACACGGTGTCAGCGACTACACCCCGACCCAGGCCGCTCCATGCCAGGGACAGCAAGAACAACTACAGCATCACCAGCAGCGGCTGTGGCTCTTGTCAAGTCAGAGCACACTTAGCCACAAAGCACGGACACGCATGTCCCCGCCTGCGTTACGCTCTGAAATAAACCAGCAGAACAGAAGTTTTAAAATTGCATTCTGGGTCCCCGACTCCACTGGTTTTTGATGTCCAATAAAATCTATATTTGGTATAAAATTGTTTACTACTTCACCATAAAGGCTGCCGAGTGCCTAGCACTACTGAAAGTGCCCGCTGCTTGTTATACACAAGGCGACAGAGCTCGTAGGATCAGGCCTTAGCAAGGGTCATAGCTGGAAACGTACAGCCAGCACTGCAAGGCTAAGAGATGCATCAGCTGCCAGGGTGGTATTTACAGACGCGCAGCAGACTTCACCCAATTCCTAACAGCCCCAAAACTCCAGGGCCAGGTATAGCACAGTCCATCGCAGTGCATTACTGCGGCTGACTTGAGAACTGCTCCTTGAAGGCCTCCCTCAACCACAAAGCTCCTTGAGGAACACTTCTAATAGCCCTTGTGTCTGGCTGTTCCCACTCAGCACACAACTGCGCCACCTCTGCACGGAGCCAACTTTCCCACCTTTGCCTCACAGATACTATGCAGATCAAGCAGGCGGCTATAACCATTGGGATATTCTCTCACTGAAGTCCAATCTTGCACCCACGTCCCTTCAGTCTACTGGAAACACACTCGACTGTCACTTTGCGCCTGCTGAGCTGGCAGCCGTCTCTTTCTTTGGTGCTGGCAAGGTGGCCAGCATACTGTTTCGCAAATCAGGGGAGCAAGAGGTAGGATGGGTCCCCCAGGATCACTATTGGCTTTTCAACAGCACCAGTGCAGAGGTCAGGGATGCACCCCACATGAGCCACTAACAAGCACATAGCCACAGAAAAGTAACCCTCTCTGGAAAAGTGCGCTGGGGCCAGCATAGGAAAAATGGCACCATCTATCGCTACATTGCAGGTCAGGAACCCCACCAATGTTCCCTTTCATTTTTTCCATCTATGTGTGGAATAAATGTTATGTGCACCAAGGCATGTACGGACGTGCACCACCAACAGAAACACCTGCTGCCAGCTAATCCACTGGGTGGCATTAGAGTCTCTCCTGGGTGGCCCCCCAAGCACTCAGCTTACAGGGAACACTGAACCTCACTGCTGCAAAGCCATCTGCTATGCCCTGCACAGTACCAGGCGTCACAGTCCTGCACTGTAGAGTTGGTCCTGCACACGCGTGTGGCAACAGCCCTCACTGTGGATTTTCCAGCTCCCAAGCGATTTACCACTGGACAGGCGCAATCCGACAGGGCACGACTCCACAGCACAATCACCACTCGCTGCTCCACTGGCCATGTGGCTCTCAGTCTGCCGTCCCTGCACTGGAAGACTGGGGCGAACGAGGGGAGCGCTCAGATCCAGGGGTGTGTCACGTGGAAATAACATTCTTGCCATCCTAGCTCTGAATTGGGATGTGACCAGTCAGCGCTCATTTCTCAGGCCCGGATACAGCACTCCATCATCTACAGCCACTGCGTGAATGCCACCAACGCCGAATTGGCTCTAGGTCCCCCGGCGGTCTGCCCTCCACAAAGTCATCATGTCCCCCCTCCATGGCTGCAGCTCTGCAAGTACCGGCGGGTTGTGCATCCTGTGTCTGCACAAGGGTTAACCTCCTTACTGGGCAATGCTTATCCGGTTATGGGATGGGACCGTGACCCTTTGCTCCCAGTCATGCCTGTGTGACTCATTTGTCCCACCACGCACTTTCCCAAATGGCTCTGGACACTGCTGTGCAACAACTTCTGGGAGCACTGACACAAGCACTACTGCTGAGAACGTGCGGCGATGATGCAAGGTGTCGAGCAAGTGCACAAGTGCCAGGCTAAGCCCGGTGGCTTTCTGCTGATGTAACTTGCCTCAGCCCAAGTGTGTAGTGTACACATGGCCCCAGCCTGCAGTTGCATCACTGGAAGACAGGATACTGCAACGGCTCTCCAAGCGTATGGCCTTTACAGATCCACCCTGCAGCAGCTGCATGCCCTGCCACATACGCCACCGTGCAAAGCAGCAAAGCCGGTTGGGGAACCTGCACATGCCTCTGATCCCCTGTTCTAGAGCACCAGGGTATGGGAAACCAAGGCCTACTGTGCCACTGCTTAGTTCCTGAGGGAGGGAGAGGAACATCACTGAGAACTCTGATGCAGAGGGTAGGAGGGCAAATCCGTGAGGACCTACACAAGCGCTACTTCCTAGAGAGTATTTTTACCATGCAACCTTTCTTCCTCCCTCACCTCGGTGACTGTGCAGGCCCGCAGC